ATATGGACTGGAGCAATAATCCTGGGGGTGGGGTGTTCTGTGCCCAGAACCCAAAGAGGTCTACCAGGTGCACTACTTCCATCTCTGTGGTAGAGGATTCAAGACGCAATGATTTCTCTTCTGCTTTGAAGGGGGTGTCCTGGCATGCCTCTGACTACTGGACTCCTAAGAACTTCATTGAAATGGCAGGTCCCTGGCTCTTCATAAGGTTTATCGCCCATGCTCTGGAGCACAGGTGTCTTGCAGATGCCTCTTACTCATCCTGTCCAATCAGTATTACGGTGTCAGTATAATGGATCTGAGTAATGTTCTATGGGCTGTCTAGATGATCCATATCTCTTTGTACTATATTATGAGAGAGGACAAGTATGACATAGGCGAGGAGAGTTAACATGGTCCTGGAACAAATTGTGAATAAAGATTTTTGTCTGTCCACATGATTGTGAACTGCTTCTTATCCTCTTTTCTTGACTGGTTGGAATAGAAATGAATGGATTCATCAAGTCAATGGATACATAGCATGTACCTAAGGCCTTATTAATCTGCTTGAGCAATAATATCATGTCCAGCACATAGCATCCACAACTGGGATTACTACTTGGTGAAGCCTGGGGTAGTATACAGTCATTCTCCAGAAGTCATCCAATTTCTGCAGTGAACACACTGGCAAAACAAATGGAGATATGACAAGGACCACCGCCCGTACATTCCTCAGATGTTTAAGAGTGGCTGTAATCTCCACCATGCCTCCTGTGTGTATGTATGGGGGGGGGGGTGTGGTTTCATAGACTTCCACATGGCTTACACCAATGTTATCGTGGCCCAAGAGAGAGATAGATCCTCACTTAAAATTTGGTTTGGATGTCAAGACTGATGACAGCACACAGACACCAAAAGGGCATGGAAAGTTTTATTATTTACATAATTGAGTTTTCTGAGGAGAGCAGGATAGGCCTCTCAAGCAGTTGCAAAATGGTTTGTGAGAGCAAGGAAAAGAGAGTGGCCTGGGGTTTTACTGTGAGAGTTCTCACATGTGGGCAGGACATGTATGGTTTGAACTTCCCTCCAGCATCAAAAGATGGAGCACCCAGGCTTTCTTACCAGCTTGTCCAGATATGGAGCACAAGGGGAAGAGGGAAGGCTAGCTGAAAATGAAAGGCCAGTTTCTAGGGGGAATAAGGGCTGGGCAGTGCTCCTCCCTCCATTGCTGGTGTTGTGGGAAGTGGAGGGTCTTAGGACTTGAAAGATAAACTCAAAATGACCTGCACCAGTGAGGGGTTTTGCTACAAGGAATAAAAATCAAATAAGGCTGAAAGGAAGAACCTGACTGGAAAGGGAAATGACATTTGGCCCTATCAGCTGCTTGGTACCAATGCCAGCACAGAAACAACTCGCCTTTGTGTCAATGGACTAGGAAGATACCATGCAGATGGAAACAACAGGAGAGTCATAACCATGATGTCACCCCAAGTGTAACAGGTGAGCTTGAGTTAAATAATACAGAGGGTCTGTCTGGGCATGAATAATAATGGTAGATTTCTAAATAAAATAGAAGTGTAGGAGCACCATCACAAGCATCTGGGAGGTGGCGAGTGAGATAACAAAAAGGACAGTTCAGGAGACACTTGGAGGATTGTCCAACCGTAGCCCATTCCTCCCGGACGTTTGGACTGCCAGAGCAACATGCACACCAGACTCACCAAGGCCTTGGCAGCAGGAGCTACCTACAAACTGGAAGCAGTATAATGTAATAAAAGGAGCACAGGTCCCAGACTTAAGAAGCCTAGCTCTGCAGCTCTGTGACCAGGGTAATTGTCGGTGTCGCAATCCAATGTACACATCAGGATAGATGTGGAGAGGGCTGATGGCCACTCTGAGTTTATTATAACCAGCGTTTCAAAATATACATAGCTTACATCTGTTAAACATACACAGGTGTTCTGGATGAAGTAATTAGCCAATGCCAAGAATTCTTAGTGATTTCTCAAGGAGCCCTCCCTTGGCCTCTGTTTTGATATTATCATGTTATTGCTGTGCTCCTATATTTTTATCTCAGAGCAGGCAAGGTCTCTTAGGCAACGGTCCCTCTTGCTCCCCATATCGATATCGTTTCTCCATCTGTGCCCCCGGGCGGCCGCCGCCTGGCTTAGGTTGCCCCCCCAGGGGGTCTTACCCGTCATTGGGTAACCGGCCTTCTCACCTCCGGGTCACAGTTTGTTGGCAAGCTTTTTCCAGTGATTATTAACCCTTCCTATGTCAGGGGCGGCTACAGTAATCCTCTAGTTTTTCTTGTACTCAGTTTCTATCACTGAACAAGGACACGCTCCATGATCTCTGGAGCTAGGAAAGGTAAGGCTCTACTGCTGTGCAATATCTCCCGGCCCAGCCCCCTCACCCTTCCTCACCCAGCTCTTGGGAACCAAGCCCCTCTCCACGGAACCCCAGAGCCCAGGGCAGGCAGGTCCGCCCGAGGGTCCCTCGCGGTGGGAGGGCCCGGCTGTCCTCCACGCGTGTCCACAACCCCTGCCCCCGGGCAGCTCCGAAGACCAGTGTCCAGTGCCCGGAGACGACCGACGCCAGGGCGCCCTGCCGAACAGCCTCGGACCTCAGGAGCCCCTTTGGGCTCCTTGCGAGCACCCAGCTCCCTTCCTCTCTCCCGCCTTCGTCTGGACAGCGGGGCCTGCTTCAACCCCAAGGTCAGTGGGCTTCGCACCAGAAGGCCGGCGCGAGCCCAGGCTGGCCAGAGATGCGCAGCCCGGCCCGTTTGTGATCCTCGTGCGCCATCTGGCGGCCGGCGCGGGCACGGCCGCAGCAGAAGCGAAGCCGAGGCCTCTCTCGCCCCGGTCAGCCATTTCGTTCTAGGACAGTCGCATTTCCCGAGAGGCACTGCGATCCAAGCTCGCGGCAGCAGGAAATGGCGGTGCGCGCAGGCGCACACACGCCGGACGCAAGCGCGCAGGCGCATCCAGGACGGTCTCGCGCGCGACTAGACGCAGACGCGGCCTGGTGCGCGCGAGTGGGGGATGCACGGGCGCAGCCGCAGGTGTTCTGTGCCGGCTGCCCGGATCCCTGGAAGGCAAGGCGAGTCTGTCCTCACCTCTTTTCTTCCCAATCCACAATCTCCCGGTTTCCCACGGAAGTCGTGAAAGCTGTAGCACAATAGTTCCAGACACTGAACTGGCATGAGAATAAACTGGGGAGCAAGTAAAAAGATAGCTATGCTGGCGGGTCAACCCAGGACTCCAACGTGCCTGCTGTTCCTTCTCCTTTCACTGTCTTACCCCCTTATTTCTGGGGCGTTCACTATATGCCCTGGATACCCAATGAGCTACTGCCTGCAGCCACCAGAGTCCTATTGATGGACACTGTCCACCCTACCAGCTCTGTTCCTGTCCTGGGTCTATAAGTCACTGTTCCCTGGGCTGGGTAGTGACCACTTTTTGCACTTAAGACATGGCATTGTCCCTCTAGGACCCTGTGGCCACCAGACCCAAATGCTGACTTGAGGTACCATGTCACTGTTGCCGCCCCCAGCCCCACTTCCAGTCCCAGCAGACCCTTCCTTCAATTGCCCACAGCAGAGGTGACACGCAGCTGAAACAGTCAATGAAATTTATTGAAGAAAACCACTTACTAAAACCATCGAAAAGAAGGAAATGACAACACAGAGAAACTTCTAATGGCTATTACAGCCCACAAATCTTGGGGACCCCCTATACCCAGGGTCCATAATGAGATGCCCCAGTGGCCCCCACACTGAGGCCCTTTTGCCAGAGTCTCCCTTCTTGAGGGCCCCAGCACCAGCCTCTTGCCGGGATGATGACCTCTCACTCTGGGGCTCCCCCCTCCCTCTGCCCCCTCTGGCTGACATGCTGCGGTGGGGCCCTGTCCTGTGGCCCACACAGGACAGTCACAGGATGCTGGAAAACACAGAAGGGGACACCCCACCAAGCCTAGGAAACTGAGCCACGAGTAACAACAGGTTGGCACATGAGAGCACCATCCCAGTGGAGCCTCCCGCAGCCCCTCCATGTCCCTGCTCCAGTTCTTCCATCCTGAGGTCCTGGGGTCAGTGCCGGCCATGCCCTCGTCTGTCCATCATTCCCAGCATCTCCTGGGACTGGGCCCAGGGTCTCCAGGGTGGGGTGGGAGCCACTGCTTAGATAAGCACACACACATCTCCACAGGAACAAGCAGCGGTTGGCCTAAATCTACACCAAGAAGGCAGAGTTGAGCTCACAGCACCAGACGAGAGAGAGCAGAGCCTGGGCTGGCACTGAAGCTCACAGCATGTGCTGGGACTGAGAGGGGGCTGCCCGCTAGGCCATGGGGCCCCCACCCCAGGATCACACATACCTCACGGCTCTGCACAGAAATGATGGCTAGTGTGTGTGTGTGTTGGGGGTGTATTACTTGACACATGGGTCAATACAGGGTCTACAGAGCTACAGAGACACAAGTGGGCTTCCCAGACCAGGGAGCAGCCTGCCCCAGGTGACAGTGAATGGGGGTCCTCTTGTTGGGAGGCCCAGACAGCTGGCACCCATGAGATGACCCCTGACCCTGACATATCCCAGGCCCGTGCAGGTGGCAGACGTCCTCAGGTGCCCCTCACCCAGGCCGGGGCTGCCGCTCGGGGGAGCCGCCAGGCTGGCTGCCTGAGTTAGTAGGGCTTGGGATGGGGCTGGGGCTTGGGCTCGGTGTGGTGCTGCCGTGGGCGGGGGTGCTCCTCTCCCCTGCCCATTTAGGGTAACACATGGTCATCTTGGTCACTTGGAAGGGCTGATGGTGGGGCATAGGGCCCCTTGGGGAATGTGGGGAGACGGGGGCTTGCTTTGGGCTGATTAGGCCCCTCCCTGGGCCTGCTCCCCATGTGGGGTGAGGCGGCTGCCCTGGCCTCGCCTCCCCCTGCCTCCAGGGCTCTGCTGCCTGGGAGGAGAGAGGGCCCCTGGGCCTTCTGAGCCTACTTGCCTGAGGAGAACTCGGGGTGGCTCATCTCCTCAGCCCAGCTCCTCCTGGATGGCCTTGAGCCCCTCCTCGGGGGTCTGCTCAGCCTCCTTGTTTCCTGCCTGAGCAAGGCCCTCTGGGTCACCACCAGGACCTCCTGGGCCCACCCCAGAAGCACTGCCCATCTGGGCAGGGGTGGGGCCCCCAGGGGCCTCTAAGGGGCCTGCCTGACCTAGCCCTGCAGGAGTGGGAGCATTTTCATCTTTCTGAGTGGCAGAGGAGGCCTTGGTGGTCCCTTCACTAGACGCAAGCTCAGCAGCATCTTCAAGAGAAACAGCATCTTCTTTGGTTGAGGAAGCCTCAGCAGAATCTGCATTGGCTGGGGCAGGACTTTCTATGGCAGGATTGATCTCGGCAGCATTTTTATTTACTGTGGAGGCCTTGTTGGCATCTTCATTGTCTGGGGTGGCCTGGGCGACAGCCAAGCCTCTGCTGTCCACGGGGGCACTTTCCTTTGCCTGGAACTGCTCACTTCTAGCGGGAGCGGCCTCCCACGCCTCCGTCTCCCGAATGAGCTGCAGCATCCCCAGGAAGCCAGGCGGCCTCCTCTCCAGACGCATCCTCCTCAGCTTGTTCTCGAGCGTCTCGTTGGGCCGGGCCTGCATCAGCACCTGCCTGGCGCGCAGCTGCTCTGCGATGGCGGGCCGGATGGCCCCCTTCTCCAAGGCCGCCTGCAGCAGGCCTTCCAGGCGCATCACGTAGGCAAAGAGAGCCTCCTGGGGCCTCTGCGCACAAGTCAGGAACTTCAGCCGTGCGGTCATCTGGGCATCCTTGTTCCCGAACACCTGCACCAGCGCGGCCAGGCAGTCCTGTGCAGGGGTGTCGGGATTTTCCTCCAGGAGGCCACACATGAGATCCAGCACGGGGCCACCCAAGCTCTCCACCAGTCTCCTCCTCCTCTCCCTCTCTGACATGTGGCGCCACAGGTACAGCGTGTTGTTGGCATGGTGCAGCCCGCTCTCAAAAGACTCTTCTCCACAGCCCGGCTCTTCCACCCCAGAAAACCTTCTCAGTACCCGGTAGGCCATAGCATCGAGCAGAGGCTGCAACGTCTGCCGCCAGTGCTGGCTCCGGGCTGCTGCCTCGTTGATGGCTCTTGCCACACCTGCAGCTCCTTCGTCACCTGGAGCCTCGGCCTCAGCTACAGCTCTTTCTTCACCTGCATATCCTGCCACATCTTTAGCTCCTGCCTCACCTGCAGTTACTACCTCACCTGCAGCTCCTGCCTCCTCTGGGGCTCCTGCCTCACCCACAGCTCCAGACTTCCTCACCTGGAGCTCCTGCTACATCTTCAGCTTCTGCCTCACCTGGGGATTTTGCCTCACCCTCACATCCTGCTGTACCTGCTGCTTCCTCACCTGCAGTTTCTGCAAAATCTGCAGCTCCCTCCTTGCCTGCAGCTCCTTCCTCACCTGGGGTTCCTGCCTCACCTGGGGCAGCACCTGGCGCTCCAGCCTCACCTGCAGCTCCCTCCTCACCTGCAGTTCCTGCCTCACTTGCCCTGCCAGCCACTGCTTGCCTCTGGGGCTGTGCAGAGAAATTGGGTCTATCCTGTGACTCAGAATCAGGGCCCTGGGGCAGGAAGACCACATCCCAGAGTCCTCCCTTGCCTGGTATTTGTTGGGGGACCAAACTTGCCCCTGGTCACCTGCTTACTTTCTGTGACTCTGCAGGTGCTGCCGCGCACAGAAACGCCACCTGCAGGTTGCGCAGCCGGCTCTGGAGGCCACCTCAAGGCCCTAGAGCCCCAGAGTCAGAAGACCACACCTCAGCGGCTCAGCCCAGGGTTCCCCACACAGGACTCTCCCAGGCCCTCTGTGCTAGTGCCACATGCTCCCAGAAGTCCTGGGTAGATGAGAGAGAAAGGTCTCAGCGTCTCTGTGCAGGGCAAATGGCTGCATCAGGAAAGCATGTGAGGAGGAGTTAATGTTGCAATGGCAACAGGACCTGCCTGGTAAGGGCTTGATGTGGCAAGGCTTGGAGCCTCCAGAAGCAACAGGCATGCCTTTTGGCCCTCCAGCGATAAAATGGCCTAATGGGGGTGTGGGAAGGTAAGGAGGGGAAGCTAGCAGAGAGAAAACTCATGGTTGGGGATGGGGCTGGAAGATGGGACTCAGTGGACAGTGGGGTGTTGGTGTTCCTAGTGTCACTGCGTTCACAGGTCACCTCGTCATACCAGGAATCTCAACAACAGACACAGGCTGGCTATTCCCAGCTCAGGAGCCTCATCACAGCTCCTCATGCTGCAAAGCCAGCCCTCACCACTTAGGAAATCATTGCGCTGGAAAGAGTGTGGGCTTTGGAATCAGGCAAAGCTGGATTCACCTAGCAGCTGAGTGGCCTTGCACAAATCACTGAACATCTCTGTCCCTTATCTGTAAATGGGTAATAAGAACACTCTTCTTGCAGCGTAGTCATGGAGCTTTACCTTCCACTGGGCACACAATAAGCCTCCAGTAATGGCCACAAGCACACAGGAATAGATGTGGTGAGGCCAGCAATGGTGTGGGTATTGGAGGCTCATTGTTGCAGCCAGCTCAATGGTCCCAAGTCTGAGCCCTGAGGCAAAAGGGGACATGAAAGGGAACATTGGAACTGTTTTCCTGCATAACACAAGGATTGACTGAGGTGACAGAGTGTAACTCTCTGCTTTTGCGGGCTTTAGTCAAGAGAAGCCTCTGAGGAACTCAGCCAATCTCTACCATGTCTAATACTGGATGCCCATTGGGCCAGCAGCTTTAGCGGTTTCCCAGGAGAGGATCCTTGGCGTATCCTTGAGCACTGCTGCACAGGCACCACTGACGGTGGCAGTGACGAGGAGCTGCTCTCACCTAGCTTCCCTAGGCACAAACATGAACAGTGGGGGCAGGAGAAGTAGGGAAAGAATACATCTGATGTTCTATGTAAAATTTAGGTAAGGGACTTGCTCATGAACTCTTGTAGTAGATCGATTTTTAAAATGTCCCCAATTCTCCACCATTCACTGTATCAACACCCTTTCCAATGACTTCAGAATTCCTCCCATCACCAGTTAGGGTTTATTTTCCACCTCTGGAATATAGGCTGGTCTAGTGACTTGCTTTGGAAAACAGAATATGAGAGAAGTGATAGGGTGCCAATTGCTGTTGATCATGGGCCACATTTTCCTGTTACTTCACATGTTTTGGATTTTTAAAACTGTATGCCGGGCATTATGTTTAAAAGAGCCATAGGAATTGAAGTAAATATTTTGCCCCAAAGAGGAGACACCCTTTCCTCGGTCAGGCACTGTAATTTCCCTGAGGGATATAACTTCAACCCAGTCAAGATTTGAGCTGGATCATGGCTTGGGTGCAGTTTTAGTTAGTATCAGCTTAGTTAGTATCTAGTTCCAAATGCCTCCAAGGTGAGATCTGTCCTACGTGTATTACAAGCTGCTCCCTCAAGTTGTAGAGTGAAGCAAGACTCTGGGGTCTAAACACCAGAAGACTGAAGTACTCTCACTCTCTTTCTTTCTCCTCTCTCTGGCAGAGACTTTAACCTGCCATATTACTTCTCTTACTATGTACTCGGAAAAAAACCTATTGGGAGAACTAGCTATGCATGTGGGGCTTCTACAGATTTCAGTCTGTCTATCCAGGCCATGCAGTCATTACCAGATCCTTATCCCAGGAATTTTTTAAACCCATGGCTAGCCCAATCTTCTCACTCCCAAGCGTGTTCTTGCCAGGGAGGACAATGGCCACTTGTATGTGCTTATCTCTCTCTGGAACTTAGTTACTTTAGACTTCATTACATCCAGAACTCTCAAATGTCTTTTAAAAATATGTGGCTTTGTTTGACCATCTGATTTTTTGTAGTTGTTACAGTTGGATCAATGGTCTGTCCTGACCTACATCCTAACCTGAAGCCAGAGCAAGCCTACTCCAGACCCATGAAGAAGGTACGTCTTTCTCTTGAGACATTTTCAATATCTCTTTTAACACTAGAACTACTTAAGGTGGTAGGGATATCCATTGCTTGTGACTTTTTAACACAACAGGGAAGGTGACCTTAATGTATTTATAATTTCCCTGAGGTCCATTTCTGTAGAACTATTGAAATTGGTAATAGGGGCTTGCTTTTGCTCCCTGGCTATGGTAGTAACAAGTAGACATAATGATGCACCAGAGTTGTCAATGGAAAAATTGTGTAGACCTGGTCCTCTGGGTATTTTTCTGACATTCATATTACCTTATCACCTATTTGAGTCGTAAAAGTCTTCTTTTTCCCACTCCAACCTTCTTATTTTAAACAGTCTTCTCAAGTTTTTATGTAGAATGCTCGAACAATGGGACATTGTGAAGCCAGACTTGGGAACCCAAGGTTGGTTCACTGGACAAGGTACAATTGTGTGTTCAATAACAAATGACTACTTTCTCCTAAGGCAAAAACGAGTTTTGTATGCACATTTATTATCCTAATTGTTTACTATATATATCAGTCTCTCCTGGAGATACCACATGATGATAGACCAGCAACACTAGAGATGTTTATGTTCACAAAAACATTTTGTGTCCTATCCTAGGATCATTTGGAGGAATTTTCTAGGGTGCTATCACAGCTTACATGGGGTACTTTGAGATGGCATGTGGGAAGAAGTAACTGAAGCAACTGATAGAAATAGGGGACACAGTGGATAATGATATGATAATAGAAGTAAGTAGATGGTAGGAACTAAATATAGTGATATGGATGTTCACAAATTACATGTGGCAAATAATAAATATAAACTCCTGAGAGCTAGGGCTTCACTGCATCAAGCCCCCAAGAGGAGATGCCCTGTTGCTCTCTCTCCAGGGTTGTGAGAGGGCAGCTCATTTGGCTGCTGATCTTACCCCCGCTGAGACCCCTGGCAAAAATGAAGCTCCTCCTGGGCTGAGCAAGGCAGAGTTTTTCCTCCAGACTCCAGGCTACCCAAAGGATATCTACCATTGTTCCCCATTGGCTGCTGGCATCAGCCCATATAGTGCCCTGCCTGGAGGACAGAGGAATTGCGACCCTTTCCTCACCTTTCTTGATTATGTCCTTTGATGCACAAAAGTTTTAAATTTTAAGTCCAATTTACCTATTTTTTCTTTGGTTGCTTGTGCTTTTGGTGTCATATCTAAGAAACCATTGCCTAATTTAAGGTCACAAGGATTTATTCCTATGTTTTCTTCTGTTTTATACTTTTTGCTCTTACATTTAGATGTTTGTTACATTTTGAGTTAATTTTTATATTAAGTTGTGAAATAGGAGTCCAAATTCATTACTTTATCTGTGGATATCCACTTGTCTCAGCACCATTTGTTGAAATGACTATTCTTTCCTCATGGAAGATCTTGGTGCCATTGTCAAAAATCAGTTGACCATAGATGGGTTTATTTATGGACTCTAAATTCTATTCCATTAGTCTATCTATCCTTATGCCAGTACCACACAGCCTTGATTACTGTAGATTTGTATTAAGTTTAGAAATCAGAAAGTGCTGAGTCCTTTAACTTTGTTCTTTTATTTTTCAAGATTGTTTGAGCTATTAGAGGCCACTCGCAATACCATATAAACTTTAGGATTGGCTTCTCCATTTCTGAAAAAAAAAAGACCATAGAGATTTTTATAGGGAATGCATTGAACCTGTTGATCAATTTGAGGAATATTTTCATCTTAACAGTATGAAGTCTTCTAATCTGTGAGCATGGAATGTATTTCTATTTATGTAGGTCTTCTTCAATTTCTTTCAACAATGTATTATAGTTTTCAAGTTTCAGATCTTGCACTTCTTTGATTAAATTTATTCTTAAGTACTTTATTCTTTTTGATGCTATTGTAAATGACGTCATTTTCTTAAGTTCCTCTTCATAATTTTCCTTGCTAGTGTACAGAAATACAACTGAGTTTTATATATTGATCTTGTAGCCTACAACTTTGCTGAACTCATTTACAAGCTCTAATAGTTTTTGTGTGTGTATTCCTTAGGGTTTTCTATATATAAGATTATCTCATCTGCAGGTAGAGATAGTTTTACTTCGTCTTTTCCAGTCTGGGTGCCTTTTATTTCCTTCTCATGGCTCATTTCCCCGGCTAGAACCGTCAGAGCAATGTTGACCAGAAGTGGTGAGAGCA